TGATTTCACAGCTGAAGTGTTCCTGGAAGGGGGACATCTTCCAGGCTACTGGGCAGGGCTTGGTCTTACATGTGCAGTGGCTCTCAGTGGTGCCGCCAGGATCAAACTCAGCCCGTCCATGGGCTCTACTCACTTTCCCAGACCTGTGCCGTGGGGCCTGGCCATCATTCCCACCGTGGCTCTGGCCCCGGCAGGCAGGTTCTTCTAGTCCCCTGATAACCCCACTGCCTTTTCTCTGACAGGTCCCAACTCCTCCAGGCCCACCCTCATCCTTCCTCTCCCAGCCTCCCACAGCTTCCAATACTCTACAATTCTGCAATCAGTTACTACCTGTTATTAGCTATTTTCTATACCCGTACCTAGATATTCACTAAGAACTTGAGTTTGTATCCAGGGCAGGGACCACATCGTTGACTTGCATGACCGGTAACCCTGTCTAGGATCTAGGGTTACCTTTACATCAAGAGGGATCCCTCTTCAAGTTCGCAGATGACAGGGAGCCTTGTTCATCAACTATGGCTCATAATGAACATAGACCGCGCACACACAGTTGGCCCTTCGTATCCGAGGAGATTGGTTCCAGGACCCCTGAGGATACCAGAATCCTCGGATGCTCAAGTCCCGTATTTCAAATGGAGTAGTATTTGCATATAACCCATGCACATACTCCCTTATACCTTAAATTATCTCTAGATTACTTATAATCCCTAAAACAATGTAAATACTATGTAAATAGTTGCTGGCACTCAGCAAATTCAAGTTTTGCTTTTTGGAACTTTCTGGAATTTCCACTCCCAATATTTCTGATCCACAGTTGGTTAGATCCACGGATGCGGATCAGTGGGCAGACAGTACTTATTTCTTCTAAGTCATTATTTTTTTAAGTCCAAGCACTTTACTAACGTAAAATTTACATTCTAAATATTTTTCCTTTGTGGTTTTCTGTGTTTTCCAAATGTTCTCCAATAATCAGATAAGTTGAAGATATTTCAATCAATTGTTTTCTTTTTAAGAAAAGTGAATTAAGGAACTGCTTCGTTCATTCAGGGTCCAGTGAAATGGAAATAAAATGATGCTGTCATGCCATCTAGTGGCACTGACACAAAAAAGCCAAGACAAGTGTGAGGGCTTGGGACCACCTGAGTCCAGCCCAGGCTTTTGGGGGAAAAAGAGGCGTCTTTTCGTTTCCCAGAATCCTTGAGGTTTCCAGAGGAGGGCGAGGGTCCTCAATTAGAGACGGATGGGGGTGCTACTGCCCCCTCCACTGCCTTACCTCCCTGCAATTCTGACACTTAGAGAAGGGAACTGGGGATGGGACGGGAGGGGGAAGGTGCCTGCCGTCAGCTGCAGGGAGCAGCCAGCGATGTTCCCACAGGCTGCACCCACACCTCTGAAGTGTGGGATGCAAAGTTCCCCACGCGCCACAGCGGGGGCCATGGGAGGGGCTACTGCACACCTGCCAGACTTGCAGGAAGCAACCAGCATCTAGTGCTGTGTTCAGGTCACCCCAGTGAGTCACAGATAACAATCCCAGTTAGAATCCTTAAGGCACAGAGGGTAAGTGTGGGGCGTCCATGGGTCTGGTGTGATAAGGGACACTCCCTCTTTGCTTCAGATCACCCCATTTTAATCGCACTCAGAGTCTCACCCCATCATATACAAGGTCCCTGACGCCAGCCAAGTTTCTCACGAGGTCTCAGTCAGCAAAGCCGAGGCAGCAGGCACGGTCAGGGGAACACTGAGAGGCAGCAAATGCTGCTGCGGTTCTGTCACTGTGACACTAGAAATATACACAGCTTTACCTCTTTGCTGAGCAAGGGGGCTCAGTGGGCACGAGCCGCCTTCAACTATTCCCAGGGGTGCAGGTGCCACTTGCCTCTTCGTCGGCCCTCTCCCTCCACTTGGTCAAAGTCTGGTGGCTTCCACCTCCCAGGCACCTCTGGAAGCCCCAGTCCCGCTCCATCTACACCATCCACTCTGGCCTGGGGAGCAGCAATGGCCTCCTAACTCACGTCCCCTCACCACAAAGCCCTCCTCAGTGCACTCCCCTCCATGCTGCAGCTCCAGTGGTCTTGCGGGTTTCCGCAGGTGTAATCGATCAAGTCACTCTACAGCTTAAACCCTTTAGTGACATCGCCGTCCTTAGGATTGATTCCAAATCCTTTATGTGACCTGCAGACAAGTCCTGCTAAAATCTAGTTCAGCCCATCTCCCCTTGTCTCTGCTCTGTCCCCTCCGGGGGTCATCACACCACAGTTACTGGTTCCATGTCTGCCTTCCCCACCAGAACGTGAGTGAGGCAAGGGCCACGTCGACCTCACTGCTCTTGCCCCTGGTTGCAGCGCCAGGGCCAAACACAGAACCAGGTACATAAAGGTGGCAACAGAGACTGGTGGTTGAGAGCTTGGTTTTGAGAGGCAGGTGAATACAGGTTCAAATCCTGGTTCTGCCACTAATCAACCATGGGATTTGGTGCAAGGGACTTAAGCGCTCTCTGTCACGCCGCAAGCATTTAATGAATAAATGAAATAATGGATGTGACCAAAAATGGCATCTCAAGTGATTAATTTTAAAGCCAGTGATACTTTACTAGATGAAAGGACCCTCTATCCTGCTGAAGTTAAAAAAAAAAAAAAAAAAAGGAAGGAAAAATCTAAATTTTACGGGTATGTCGCAAATCCTGATTGAATTTTATTTGCATTGATTGCCTATTTGGTAGACGGCCCGTGTACCATCTCACACGTGGGTACGAGTCAGATGCCTAGAGAAGGCAAAGAAAGGCAAAGAAAGAGAAGAGAGAAGGCAAAGAAGGCAAAGAAAATAAACAACTAACATTTCACAACCTAGATGAATAAGACATTAAATTGACATTTATTGTAGTTCAAGTACATTTAATAATTCAACAATCATGTATTGCAATTCATACAACTAAAATAAGAGTTCATAAAATGGAATTTAAATATTTTGCAAGTATTTAATTTAAATATTCACTGTTTATTTTGATAATATGTAGCTTGACATCAATACCGGCCACACTATAAAAAAAGGTACAGTGGACCAGAATACAGAAGATTACCCAGGCTTATTTACCTTTCCAAAGAAGTTAAGGGGGTAAAAAAAAAACCCACATCACAGACCACACCTATTTTTGCAAAATGATGGGTCTTTAAGGCAGTGGTCTCCAACCAGGGTACTCAGAGATTTTCCAAGGGGTGCAGACAAGACAATTCTAAGTAAATGAATTGCCGGTTCCTCAATTTCCATTTGTATTTCTCCTAAAACTGCTCTGCCTGAATATGATACCACCTCCCCTTCCCCAGTTCCCCATCTCCCACTAGAGAGGAGAAGGGTGGACTTCTCACCCACCCTGAAATCTTAGATGACATAGAAACTGCCACATCATCTAACTAAGACTTATGAAATGGCTATCATATGATTCCCGTTTCTCTTTCACTTAGAGGCAAGCTGCTTAGGCTGAATACTCAGAGAGATGGGAAAACTGAAATATTACTACATCCTTTGCAACTCTTCTGAGGGGGTGTGTAGTTTTACATTATTTGGTGGGTATGTGAGCGAAAACATTTGAAGGCCACTGCTCTAAAGGGTTTGCACTGGGGAGTGGTTTAGCCTGGACCACTGGAACTCATGGCTTTGAAAAGTTTGCAGTAATTGGAGCTGTATTTTCTGGTCACCTCATCAGCTATCTTTGACCCTCAATGGCAACCAGCGCCAGTGGAATTCGGACCCAGGACGCCGAGGCCTCCCCACTTCTCCGAGTCATGTCTGGGATGATATGACCAAAGGATCTCTGCGGGATGTTGCAGGGAGCCAGGATGCCCCTCATCACCAGCTCTCCCCCTCCCCCCGAACACTGCTTGGGAGCACTCCCTAACCTCACCCCCTATCCCCCTCGCTGTCCCTCCGCCGTGGGGCTTGGTGTAGGCGCTACGGAGAAGTCTGATGCTCTGACGCACAGAGCTCCTGCCTCTTGCCAGGGAACACCACTCACATGACCAAGGTTAAGGAGGGGAGGGAAGGGGCTTCCCCCACGTCCCTGCAGCCCTACTTCTAAATAGAAAGCACGGCAGAGCTGTTAAGGGAGTGGCGCTGGTACCGTTTGGGTTCAGCTCTGCCATTTATTAACTGCCACCAGAAAGGCAGGCTACTAACCCTCTTTTTTTTTTTTTTTTTTTTTTTTTTGGTACGCAGGCCTCTCACTGCTGTGGCCTCTCCCGTTGTGGAGCACAGGCTCCAGACGCACAGGCTCAGCGGCCATGGCTCACGGGCCCAGCCGCTCCGCGGCATGTGGGATCTTCCCGGACCGGGGCACGAACCCGTGTCCCCTGCATCGGCAGGCGGACCCTCAACCACAGCGCCACCAGGGAAGCCCTACTAACCCTCTTAATGCCTCAGTTTAGCTACCTGTTAAATGATGGTAAGAGTAGAACCATCTCCTGGGACTGATCATGAGGACTCATGCAACACTGAGCTGGCATACAGAAGCTTAGCAAACGAAGCTGTTATTATTATTATTAAATGCAAAGTTTAGAACTTCAAAAGTGAACTCCAAAAAGGAAAAGGTAGGAATCAGCAGAGTGCCACCCTACAACTTCCCATCCCATGGCCTTCAGTTCTGCCTTTCAGCCAAGCCCGTTCCCACTGGCAGCAGCAGCCCATGCTCTGCCCTGAAGGAGGCTAGCGGCAAATCACCTCTGGTGGTGACAGCCCCTCACTCCTGCGCAGCTGCCACTCAGACACGCAGCAGCCAGGCAGGAGACCCCCAGAGCCTAGGGGTTGCCCTGGGGACAGGCGAGTGCACAGGGGGACCCCAGTGTTGTCACACACAGCTGGCAGGATTCTGTGCAAATCTCCCACGCACAGCATAGACCTCCTTCCCTGAAGGTCTGCTTCCGCGTGGGTGGGTGGGTGGAGAGGGCAGAGGCGTGGTAGGCTGAAGTGGCCCAGGGTCCCTCTTTAACTCAGCAAGGAAGGAAACTTACCTGAAGAGTGATGGGACAAAAGAGGACCGGTCTGGCTTCGCATCAACTGTGTCATTGCTTGCTGAGTCCCCAGCCCCCTGCTCCTCGATATGGTCTTGACTGTCTGCCATCTGGAAGGAAAAAAACCAACCAGAAAATTGGTACCCAGTGGCATCACTGGCCTCATGATATTTTTAAATAACACTCATTCAGTGACGTAGCTTTTAATTAAGCCTGGAGATGACCAGTACTGCCTATTTGGGCTCCAGGACTGCTGCACCAACAACTCATTCAAATGCTCCAGCGCCAGCCCCATTTCAAGCCTCATTCCAGAGACTGGATACACAGTGGTAAAGAAAGCAAAGTCCCTGCCCCTCTGGGAGCTTCTGATCCAGCATTCAGGATTTTGTCAAATGTTCACTGCTTATGAGAAACTGTGGGAGGTTCGTCAAAGTCTGTAACAACAAGAAACTCCCCCTAAATTCCTGACAGGTTATAAGATGCTCATCCTTTGCCCGACATCACTCAAACCCAGTTAAAAAACAGCAACGACCTGGAGTATAAAGTTCTCTTTCTGCTTCAGATGGTTTTACATGGTGCTACCAGAGTAGATTTCCATCAAATTATTTTCCTGCTCAAGAATTTTCACGAGATCCCTACGATCTCAAAGTTCAAATCTTAAACTGAACTCATTGGATCTTAGGGTCTTCATTATCTAGTACTGGAGTCGATGACAGACGATGGCCCACCACCTGTTTTATTGTTTGTTTGGTTTTTCTTTGAGTTTTACTTGTTCTTCCTTTTTCTAATTTTATAAGATTGAAGCTGAATTGACTGATTTGTGATCTTACTTCTTTCCTACATACAGGTGTTCAGTGCTAAAAATTTCACTCTAAGTACTCACCACCTGTTTTTGTAAATAAAGTTGGAACATAGCCACGCCCCTTCATTTACATGCTGTCTGTGGCTACTTTCCCACCACAATCGGAGTCGAGTAATTGTGACAGAGATCACGTGGCCTAAAAAGCCCCAAATTTTTACTACCTGGCCTTTTACAAAAAAGGTTTGCCAAGCCCTGATCTAGGATAACTACCAGCCAGTAGGATCCCCGACTCACCTTCTACTTCCTTTACTTTAAGGAGTAAAAATAGCAATAATAAGAATAGAAACTCACACTCTTTTTTTTTTTTTTTTTTTTTTTAATCTAACACACTAGGCCGCACAGCTTCCTTATACACTTGAGGGCCATTTTAAGTAGTGAAACCATCAACAAAAACCACAAAAATGCAAAACACGAAGCACTAAACAGACCACAAAAAGGACTTTGTAAGGCAGTGCTGCCTCTGCCTCAGCTGGGAATATGGGTATCAAGTGACTCAAGTTGTTTGACACTGTGCATGCCTTCCAGTGACCAAAAAAGCCCCATGTGTGTATTGATCTGGGAATTACAGATAAATTTTAGGGAGTAGGCAAATTCATAAGCATATGGTCAATTGTATTTTAAATGTACAGAAAAATATTGAGCAGCCTGGCACGCAGGATCTACCCTTGTCAAATCTTAATATTTTCTTACATTTACATCTAATCCTTTCTATACTTTTTTCACACTTATTATTTGCTGTGCTAATTGTTTCATAAGCATTACCTTATTTAACACTCCCCCAAATGCTGTTAGATCAGCCCTATGATCACTGCCTTTTGACAGATGAGAAAGCTGTAGTTAGAAAAGGTTAGTAACTAGTCCCAGGCTAAGTAACTAGTAAACTAGACTTGGACCAGAAGCCGGCAAACAGGCACTCAGAACCCACTCCTCACCACCACACCATTCAACCTCCCAGCCTCCTAGCATCCTTGGGCTCACTACGCTCATTTCAGGGTCCATCAGGGCTTCTGGTTCTCCCTTTCTGGTAGTCACCACCCAAATGTCTGCTGGACAGGCCATCTTTGCCCAGCTGGCTAGTTCTCAATCTTCAGAATTCAGTTTAATGGCACCTTTGCAGGAGGTCCTCCTGGATGACACCTACCTCACCAACTCCCTTCCTTCCCCCAGTCCCTCTACAGCCCTTCTATTGATCTTGTTTACTTGTACTCTACTTACTGCTTGGTTCAAACACGACAGTGTAAGTTCATCATGGCAGAGGCCCCTGGCACACAAAAAGTATTTGCTAGATCCGGCTTCCCTGGTGGCGCAGTGGTTAAGAATCTGCCTGCCAATGCAGGGGACAGGGGTTCGAGCCCTGGTCCGGGAAGATCCCACATGCCATGGAGCAACTATGCCGGTGCACCACAACTACTGAGCCTGCACTCTAGAGCCCGCGAGCCACAACTACTGAGCCTGCGCTCTAGAGCCCATGAGCCACAACTACTGAGCCCGCGTGCCACATCTATTGAAGCCTGTGTGCCTAGAGCCTGTGCTCTGCATCAAGAGAAGCCACTGCAATGAGGAGCCCACGCACCGCAAGGAAGAGCAGCCCCCACTCGCCGCAACTAGAGAAAAGCCCGCGCACAGCAACGAAGACCCAACACAGCCAAAAGTAAACATAAATAAAATAAATTTATTAAAAAAAAGTATTTGCTAGATAAACATTAATTGAGTGGGAAGCTGGAAGAAACAAATGCACTGAGGGAAGAGAATTAGCTAAGTGACACAGCTGGTCAGAAGCAGAGCCTTGAGTCATCTCTCCTAAACCAAGTCCTGTGTCCTTTCCCGTAAAGGGACTGGCCTTCAGTAACAAAGGGAAACCTCTCCAGGCTCTAATTCCTGCCGATCTCAATCTCTGAGCAATCGCACAGTGGGCCAGGGTGGCAGCTGCAGGTCTGTGTTCCTGTCAGGCTCACCCAGGGATGTTTTCACACCACTGGAAAACAAGATGGCATCTATCTCACAGAACCCCCGTGCCCCAGAGCACAAGCAATGACTTTTGGAGGTGGGCAGAAGGAATCCAACTGGGGGGGAGGTATCCAAGATGGCAAAACGCCAACCTTGTGTCCTTGAGCCCCGAGAGGCATTATCATGTCACCCTGCACCTTGTTTAGGGGTGAGCTAGGCAGTGAGGGGAGAAGTGAGAGGAAGGGCGAATCCTGTAGCCGGATCTTTACAAAGACAGTGAGAAGTCCGACGGCTATCTTGTTCCTCAACACATCGTGAACCCCCCATCATAGCCACCAACCTGTTTCCAGTTGTGAGGCAGTAAGATTTTTCTGATTAGGACCCAAAATGTTTCTTGAACACAGAGATAAGCCATCCCCAGAGGAGATGAGTGTAAGTCCGGGCATGCAGAAAACACTCAGTCATTTTTATTTCATTTCCTTTATACAGACTTAGTTACTTTTCAATGTGGACTGTTATTAGCAAAGCACGGACGTATTTTCAAAATTAACAAGTTAACGTTATACAAAATCCACCAGAAAAAGACACTAAATTCGACATGTGGTGTTGAAGCCTTAGCCTTTTGCTAAGCCTTTTGCTAAGGCTAATCTTAAAGACTGAATCTAGGAAGTATGATGACCATTATATATAGATATAATTTCCTGGAAGTCCAAGGCACCAGGTGTGTGCTAGGAGCCGGGGATACACCTGACCTGGTCCTGCCTTGTTGAGAGACAGGCACTGATAAACAGCACAAATGTTGATGGACAACCGTGATCAGTGCCATGAGGATGAACAACTTGTGGCCACAGTAGGGGACCTGACCTAGCCCCAGAGGAATTAGGGAGGGTTCTCAGGGGAGGAAATGTTTGACCTGAGGTCTGAGAAGGGGAAGCAGTGAGGGTGGAACTGAGGGAGGCACAGGGAACTGCATGCCCGTTAAACACCTGACATGCTCCATTGATGGAGAGGCTCAGTTTGAATCTCGCGTCCCCCCCAGAGTTTTGGAGGGAGCTTTGGACTTAGCGGCAGGCTGATTTCTATGGCTCAGTGGTAGGAGGATCTCCAGAACTTTCTCTGCAAACACTAGGCCAGAAGGGTCTTCTGTGTGAAACCTACAGCATCTTTCTGGGTTGGTGCTGTTTACCGACCAGGAGGGCGGCAAGAGTCCCTTCTAACAAGTTGCCAGAGTGTGCGTCTAGAACGAGGCAGTGCTAGGGCTTTACTCTTAAATCTGTAAGGCTAAACGTTCAGTGACTTCCTGATTCCTATGAGACTGGGCTTAATTTCTGGGTGAAATCATGTTCACCCAGAATGAGGGTGGTGACCGAGTGGGGAGCCTGGTCTCGGTCACATCATATTAGTCAAGCCAAGACTTGGTGTTGACCTTTTATTTCTGCTTATCTTCACAGCCCAAGACAATGCAGGCCTATCTCAGTCTACTATACTTGGAGAGGGCATGCCTGGCGTTATTTTCTTGCATTCGTCCCCGCTGTAACGCTCAGGATGCAAAGAGCAGTCAGCCATTCAAGGGAATATTGCTTATTCAATTGTTTCAATTGTTAAAAACATCTATCTTCTCTTTAAATAAATGAATATATAATACACATGAAGCATTAACCGTGTCAGGCACTCTCTGTAAGCACTCTGCTAATTATTATTATTACTATGATCCACTAGGACTCTTATTTGTAGATTATCTTAATCATCCTTTTATAGTTCCAGTTATAGAAAAGTGCCAGGTACATGGCAGGCACTCAAAATTTCTTGATAAATGTCACAACTGAAATGTACTTAAAAATGTTTAATCCCTCAGGGCCCTGAATCAATTGTTGATATGGGACAGACCACAGAACCAAAGGGACCTAGGAGGGAGGCTGAGAACCCAGTTACGGTGAACCACAGACCAGGGGTTTAAATCAGTGCCTCCACCTATTAGCCATGGGACCTTGAACAAAGTACTCAACCTCTCCAAGCCCGAGTTTCCTCATCTGTAAAATGGGAGAATGGTGACGCCTAAGTCACACATGGCTATGAGGATGCATGGGACAGCGCATGTAAAATGCTAAGCATGGTGTCTAAATGTTCACTAAGTATTCCCTGTTATCACCACTGTCCACAGAACTCAAGACTAAGACGACATTCAACTGTCAACCCTCGCTGTTATTTTAAAAATCACATTAATATTTTAAACAGCTTTTGTGGAGACTGAAAAGAAAGTTCCTCTAGTGTTATTTCTATACATGCTTAATAGGCGACTGGTACAGATCTGGTAGGAAATCAGTTCCCAGCTACGGTCTGAATTTCATTGCAGCTGCTTCCCCTGAAAAGTGACATAATACAACTTGTGCCTCACTCTTGCCCCAACGAAGACAATCTTCCTAAAAGGCTCAAAGAGAAGCAGCCCAGGGGACCTCCACCGCTCCCCTCCAGCACCTGGAGGGGGAGGGGTCTCTGCTGGGCGATGAAGTACTCCACCTGATGCTCACAGCACTGCTAAGAGGCTGTATTTGCAGAAGAAACTTCAGTTTTCTCAGAGAGGTTAAGTAACCTGCCCAAGGCCACAGAGCTAAGAGGAAGCAGAAATGGATTATGAACCTAGGCGGTGACTGGCTACCTGGGATGAAGGTCAGGCCATAGACCCTAAAGGAGGAAATAGCCTGTAAGTAAACTAAGGTTAGGGCCAAGTCCTTGGCCAGCCCAGGAGTTCAAGGGAAAAGGCTGCGAATGACTCAGAATCACCCACATATAATTTTACTTCCCCCAAAAAAGCGAAGTTGAATACAACGGTGAAAGGCGGCAGCCTGAGTCCTGCCTTCTTCCGCTTCCTGAAGGAATCTTCAACAGCCGTGCACAAGGGTACCTGAACAAAGATGACAGCGGCTTACGGGTAGCCTGCTAAGCCCTGACAGATGCACTGCTATGCACCACAATCACCTCATTCCATCGTCGCGGCAACCGTCAGCCCGGGCCCACCACTATCCCCATTTCACAGACAAGCACAGAGAGGGCCAAGGCCCCACAGCTGACGGGCAAGGACGCTGGGACTGGAACCCTGGGCTGTCAACACGGGAGCCCCCGCAGTTAGCCAGGCGAGAGAACGAACCCCTCCCGCCCTCCTAAATCCACCCCTCCTTCTTTTCCAAATCCCGAATAGTACCGGGTGTCCCAAGCCCGGGGACCAGAAGGGAAGGGAGGACAAGCTGAACAAAGCAGGCGATGCTGGGGGTGGCGGAGAGCCTTCTTCCCCTAAGTTGAGCGCCGGCCGTCGGGGCAGCTTAGTCCGAAGGGACCGGGCCCCCACCGACCGTGCTCGGTGGGAAGGGAGGAAGGAGGCAGGGGAAGGCAGGGCAGGAGGGCGGCGGCGGGCGGAAGAGGCGCCGGCGGAGGCGGGGGCCAAAGTTACCGTTCCCCCGGCGATCGGGAGGCCAGAGCTGGCTGCCGTCTCCGTCCCTCCGCCGAGAGTCTGCGGCCGCTCGAACGAAAGCGAAAGTAAAAGCCCCTATGCGGCCAGGGGAGGAGTCGCCCGGGGCTGGAAACGGACCCGGCAGGCGGGGCGGCGGACACCGCCTCCGGCTCGGGACCCCGCGCTCCGTAAAGTTGGCCGCGCGCAGGACCACCAGGCCGCCGCGCGCCCCTTCGGGGAGAGCGCGCCCAGCCCAGCCGGCCAACTGTCGCGCGCGCCATCGCCGGAGGGCGCCCTCAGCAAAGCTGGCCGCGGGCACCGGAGACCGTGCTGGGCAAAGTTTGCAGAGGTCTAAGACCGCTCTCCGAGTGACCGGAAAGCGCGCTCCGCAAACCCGCCGCACGCGGCCTCCTCATCCAGGCGACCAGGCGAACTGAAGAGCGCGCCCAGCCGACTTCGCGGCTCTGGACGATGGGGCGCTCGTCGGAGCCCCCAGCTCCTGCCCTCCCGTTGCTGCCCGGGTCTACACCTGGGCTTCGGCCTCCACACCAGCTCCAGGACCCAGTTCCCAAGGCCCGAAGGCGCCTCCCCCGCCAGACCCTGACCCCAGTTTGCGCGGGTTGCGCCCCTCGGGGGACTGGGCGCCCACATCTGCAAGAGCTACCGTCGCCCAGGGGCCCGCGCTGGGAGCCGCCGTGGTCTCCCGCCTCCCAGAAGTTGCTTCGAGTCCCTGGCGTGCCTTTCTCAGCCTTGGGCAGCAGGACGCTAACTCCGTTTTCTGCAGAGCGCGTCCCCAGTGCCTAACACGGCCTGCTGGCCTGGATGTAGCGCCAGAATCATTCATGGACTATTTATTGAGTACCCCTATGTGTCAGCCGCTGGGTACGTGGCCGTGACTTGGTCTAATGTGGGAGAGCCAGTGTAGTCCCCCCAGCACCACTCCACCCCGGCGTCTCCCACATCTGCAACACCCACGCACCCTCCCACATTTGTCCTTTTTCAACCTTCGGCCTCCAACTGAGGCCTCCAAGGCCTTGCTCTGTGAGACTCCTCAGGGGACCAGCTAATGAACACAGTCGCACTGAGGTGTAAATAGCTGAGCAGAAATTACAGTTTTATTCACACCAGAGATGTTGGCTGTGAAACTGTCAACGCCTTGAGTGAAAGGAGTGAAACTTCGTGGTGTGACATCGGGCAAGAACCACATCTTGTCTTTTATTTGCTCTCCTCTGGGACTGAGACTTCAGTATTGTCCGTAAAATCTCACCAGGTAAGGACACTTTCTTGGTTTAAGAAAGACTGGTCCCAGGCAAGGGTAAGGGAGTAATTATAATTTATTAACTTCTGCCAGAATACTGAATTCCTGAATATTTTAAACAAGCAGTTACACAATTTCCACTATGGCTGCCCTATAGGCTGACCTTTTGTGCCACTCCCACCCCCCAGTTCCTATGTTGAAACTTAATCCCTAAAGTGATGGCATTAGGAGGTAAGGCCTTTGGGAGGTGCTTAAATCTTGAGGGTGGAGCCCTGGTGAATGGGATTAGTGCCTTTGTAAAGGAGGCCAGACAGAGCTCCCTGGCCTTTTCCACCGCAGAGAGAAATTGCAGTCTGCAACCCAAAGAGGGCTTTGACTAGAACCCAGGCATGCTGGCACCCTGATCTTGGCCTTCTAGCCTCCAGAACTGTGAAGAATAGATTTCTGTTGTTTATAAGCTACTCAGTCTGTGGTATTTTGTCACAGCAGCGAAAACAGACTAAGACCGGCTGCACTACTCTCTTTAATACCCATATTTGTGGGACTTCCCTGGTAGTGCAGTTGTTAAGAATCTGCCTGCCAATGCAGGGGACAGGGGTTCGAGCCCTGGCCCAGGAAGATCCCACATGCCACGGAGCAACTAAGCCCTACTGAAGCCTGTGCACCTAGAGCCCGTGCTCTGCAACAAGAGAAGCCACTGCAATGAGAAGCCGTGCACCGCAACAAAGACTCAATACAGCCGTAGATAAATTTTAAAAATAATAAACTTACGCTTAAAAAAATACCCATATTTGCAAAATATCAGGCAAACTAAATTATTTTAGACACAAAGATAATTTACTTTTTGAAGGAATTCAATTGTGAATCATGGGAGAAATGAAAAATCCTATTAGTAAGGCAAATAAATTACTCTTTAATTTATCTGATTTATAAAATTGTTTTTGCAAGTTATTCCTGAAATATGATGAAACGGTGTTAGATGTGGAGGAGCCTTAACAACTAATCCCTCTGCTCATATTATAGATAAAGAATCTGAGGCACAGAGAGGTTGCCAACATCACAAGCTTTCTAGTGGCAGAACCAGGATCAGGTTGCCTAGAAAAATAATGAATTTTTCATCCACAAGAAGTTTCTACCATAAATTATATCTCGCAATTGTTAAAATATGTTGCACACAGGATTTCATTGCTGGCTCAGGTAGAAAGACGGTTTGAAGGAAAACTTTCTTTTTTCAGTTCTGTAGTGTAGACTGGCATGGGAACTCCCAGTGTATTGCTCCGAGGCTGGATTATCACTGTACCAACAAATAAAATCACAGATATGTGAAAGGGAAGAAACAATTTTGAACTTTCCCTCTATAATAATTGGTACTGACCCTTTAGACCCAAATGATATTCTCTTCTAATTGTATTTCCTGTGTTTCTCCAGCCTTGGCCCATATCATTGTTTTCTGCTTCCTTTCCAAACTCACATGAGTAGAGCGTGAGTCTTCCTCTTCACCCTAGAAAAAGAGACCAAGAGATCCAGTGTCCAGTGGCTTCTTTAGGAAAGGACCCTCGTGTTGACTCTCCCCCCTCCGTTTCCTGCCTTCTTACTTCTCTCCCTGGGACCATCCTTCTGAATAAAGTCCTTGCACATAAGCCTTTGCCCCAGGTTCTGTTTTTTGGGTAACCCAGGCTAACACACATTGTCTGAACCGATGCCGGGGGGCAGAAGAGCATGTGTGCTCATTGGCTGAGGCTTGGAGGACCTCATGTAATCACTGTGACAAGGGGGAGGGGCTGTACTGGATGTGAGAGGGGTCAGCTGGGCACAGGGAAGACCATCCACAAGGTCTATCAAGCAGATGAGGGCTGTGTGTCTCTTGCCAGCAACAAGGGTTCATTTTAGGTCCTTAAACTGTCCCATTTCCAGTTCTACGGGGTTGTTTTTGCTCACTATTTCTGATACATAGTAAGTGCCTTTTAAAAGCAGAAGTGATGGTAGGAGTCAAATTTAACATCTTTCATTTGGGCCATCCTTATTTTCACAAGGGTGACTGAGAACTTGTGGCAGCGATGCAATCACAACCTTAGAGGAGTGTTAGGTAGTTTTTTTCTTTAAAGGAAATCTGGCTGCGATTCCTCATCCCTCTGGATGGGGGCAGAGTTCTTTCTCTGTGATTACTGGGGCTTCCAGCCCAGGTCCAGGTAAGGCTGGAGAAATCCCACACAGAGCAAAACGTGTGGGGAACCTATAGGTCTTAGTTCTTTGCCTTTGCTCTTCCCCTTTGTTCAGGCTGCCTTGTATCACATTTCAGCCTGGGAGTCTTCCTGGGTCTAGAGCCCCTACGTAGAGCCTCCTTCCCCTGCTGAGAAGGCAGCGCTATGCCCACTCTCCATCTGTGGGGGAATTCACACTGCACCCTCTCAGTGTCATGGCAACGCTGCTCTTCTTCACTCGCTCTGTGGCCTCCTCCCCCTGGTTCTCCCAACACAACACAAAAGCACCACCGATTTCTCTCTGCCCTACCTGGGGTCCCTCCAGCAGAGTTTCCTCAGAGCCTTTTCTTTAGGCCACAGATCACTAATTGGTAGCCTGCCGTCTCAGTACTGCCCATGTTTCTGTTTTATTGTTTTATTCCCGGTGTTTTACAAAAGAGAGAATTTCAGGTGCAGATGCAGATATCTGGCTTTTCTGGAAAAATCATAATATTAGGCGATGCCGGGTACTGATTGCCTCATGACAGATTGCTGGCGTGGAGTGGTTCAGATGGGACATGTGACCTATGGCTTCACCTCTGTCCCCTGTAGGTATTTTGGTGTGAGTATTAAGTTGATTTCTTTGATTTGATAAATACTTGTTGAGCCCCTTTTCCATATCAGACCTTGTTCTAGGCACTGGGGATACAGAAAGGACAATAAGGACCAAGGCTCCTATTTTGATGGAACTCATGTTTTGATGGAGGAGACGGATAATTTTTAAAAGTAGATATAGTGGGCTTCCCTGGTGGCGCAGTGGTTGAGAGTCCGCCTGCCGATGCAGGGGACACGGGTTCGTGCCCCGGTCCGGGAAGATCCCACATGCCGCGGAGCGGCTGTGCCCGTGAGCCATGGCTGCTGAGCCTGCGCGTCCGGAGCCTGTGCTCCACAACGGGAGAGGCCACAACAGTGAGAGGCCCGCGTACCGCAAAAAAAAAAAAAAAAAAAAAGTAGATATAGTAAGATTTAAGGGGTCAGGTGGTGGTAACCGCTGTGAAGAGCATAAAGCAGGGGGAGGGTCATAGAAGGCAGTGAGCTGAGGGGGGGGGACAGGTGTGATGCGGTCTTTTGTAAGCTGTTTCTGGAAGGCCTGTTTTAAGTGACATTTAGGTAGACCCCTGAAGGCAGTGAGGGGCTTCACAAAGCCAAGAAGAGAGCTTGTCTTCAAGCTGCTCCCTTTCAAGCCTGGGAGGCAAGGACTTCTTGGAACGGTCCAGGATAGCATACAGAAGCCGGCACTCAAAGAGTTCTCATCTGTTCTTAGTTTTGCATTCTTGCAGAAGCTACACACGAATTGATATCTTAACAAGTTTGCCGTCCTACTCTTATAAACATCTTTATTTATTTTTTTAAGTTTTATTGAATTATAGTTGATTTACAATGTTCTGTTAATTTCTGCTGTACAGCAAAGTGACTCAGTTACACATATATATACATATATATTTTTCATATTCTTTTCTTTTATGGTTTGTCCAGGATATTGAATATAGTTCCCTGTGCTATACAGTAGGACCTTGTTTATCCATCCTATATATAATAATTTGCCTCTGCTAATCCCCAACTTCCAGTCTTTCCACTCCTACCCCCCTTCCCTTGGCAACCACAAGTCTGTTCTCTATGTCTGAGTCTTTTTTTGTTTCATAGATATGTTCATTTGTGTTGTATTTTAGATTCCACATATAAGTGATATCATATGGTATTTATCTTTTTCTTTGTCTTATTTCACTTAGTATGATCATCTCTAGGTCCATCCATGTTGCTGCAAACGGCATTATTTCTTTTTTATGGCTGAGTAATATTAAACATTTTTAATAGACAAGGCTAAATTTCAGATATGGCATTTACCCTC